CTCGTGGAGGAGTGAGCCATGTAGCTATCTGTAGATTTCTAGGATGCGCTTTCCAGAAAAAGAGAATAAGTGGAAAATTCCTGGAGAGCTGTCAGTGATGGTAAACACTTGCTGGGAGCCACAGCTCTGGCTTCCCTGTGCAGTGCACCTGGTGTTCCTGGGACCTGTCCCTGGCCAGGATATGAGGATGCCATACACGGGGGATTTTTCCAGAAGGTAGTGGTCCCTTCGGGCTTCTAAGCCTGCAACCATCTGTGTAGTTTGTGAGGACTGCTGCCAGAATTCCCACAGAACTGTGCCTAAAGCTGCCCCCTGGCATGGTGTCTTGCCTGTCTCATATCCTTCAGTGTCAGACATGACCTAGCCAGGTCCTGGGAGTTTAAATGTGCAGCTGTGATGGATGTCGTGCATGCACTTGGCAGTGTCTTCAGAGATGGCACAATTCCACCTTAATACCAAAAAGGCACAGAAGTGGCTATCAAAAGGATATGAGATTAGAACCAACCAAGATAAATAAACCTTTAAGAAATGGCTAAGACCCTTAAAGGTATCAGTGAAGATTAGGGCAGAGAACAGCAAACAGACAGACAAAGGAAGGTATTCATTCATGAAAGGATTGAACTTAAGTCAACATTTTTACCAAATTTAGTCATAAAGGAGCAAGGCATCATGGTATAGAGAGGGAAATTCGGGAGCTGGATCTCATTCTTTGAATAAGGCCATCCCTGCTTGTATGGTAGAGGGTAGGTGGGGGCAATAAACTGCGCTTCCCATCAGCCCCTGCTGCTGCTTCTCACAAAATTACTGTTAACCCCAGAAAATGAAATGCTGTAATCATTAACACCATAATTACATTTTCTTTGTAATCTAATCTCAGGGGGGGAAACCTTAAATACAAAAAAAGCCCTATGTAAAAATGTAAAGTGAATTCTTTGTTACTTAAATAGAGAAAACAATTTAAAACCACCCAAATGTCTGTGAATCACGGTTACTACGTTAGACTTCTACTATGAAACTAGTATGTTAATGTAATAGCACTACATAATAAGTAAATTCCATGTTAAGGGAAGAATGGGATAAAAATAACAGGAAAAATTTTTAAGTTATTTAAAAAAGTATGCATAGCCTTGTCCGGTTTGGCTCAGTGGATAGAGCGCTGGCCTGCAGACTAAAAGGTCCCAGGTTCGATTCCGGCCAAGGGCATGTACCTTGGTTGTGGGCACATCCCCAATAGGAGGTGTGCAGGAGGCAGCTGATTGATGTTTCTCTTCCATTGATGTTTCTAACTCTCTATCCCTCTCCCTTCATCTCTGTAAAAAACAATAATATATATTTAAAAAATAAAAATAAATACAAAAACCATTCTTAGAAAAAGAAATGGAAGACAGAATGTTAAGGGAGACTACAATTGAAACTTAAAATCTTTTCCATTTTCTAAAACAAATCTCGGTTTTATCATGCAAAAATAGTTAAATTTCAGTTACATTTCCAACATATTTGTTACTCAGTATCGAGTTTTGTAGTTAATCCTTTTCCCCTCTCTAGGTATATTATACTTATATTCAGATTATGCTTGAAAATACAGCAAATCAGGTTGGCTAGGTTATTCTGAAAATGTAAACCATTACGATGAGAAATGATCTGGCTGAGGCAGAATTTAAATATCTTTCTTTTCCTTAATTAACAGAGCCTAACACCATTCCTCAACATACTAGGTACCGTATTTTCCGGGGTATAAGACGACCCCCTAATTTTACAGTTAAAACATAGATTTAGGCCTATATTCGCTTTATAAAACTACCCTCCACTTCAAAGAAAAGACTTACTTTGCTGTCAAAATCTGCAGGTAATTTTTGTGCAATTTTGGTCTTTTGTCCCCAATTTTCAGTTGACTTTTTTTTTCGTTTCAAAAGTCATCTTATATTCCGGAAAATACGGTATCCTATCTAATAAAGAGGGCACATGCAAATTGACCACCACACCGTAACAAAATGGCTGCGACCACAGCAGAGGCAGGGATTCTGTAACACAAGATGGCTGCACCCACAGCAGAGGCCAAGTTCCCTAAGGAGCATAAACCAGCAATCAGCAGGGACCTGAGGCTGCACGGCACTGGACCAGGGCAGGGGACCTGAGGACACCCCCCACCCAGTGGGGCTTGGCAGGGGACCTCAGGGCATGCCCCCCACCTCATGCCAAGCTGGGGACCTCAGGGCACGCCCCCCACCTGCAGGGCTAGACAGGGGACCTCAAAGCCTGCCCCCTGCCCTGGTCCCAAGCTGGGGAACCTCAGGCCACGCCCGCACGGCCCCAACACCAGGCCGGAAGACCTGAGGCTACACCCCCCATCTGCAAGGCTTGATGGGGGACCTCGAGACGCACTCCCTGCACTGGCCTGGGCTGGAGGAACTCAGGCGGTGCCCAACACCCTGCGCCAGGCCAGGGACCTGAGGCCGCACCCCCCACATGGCAGGGCTTGACAGAGACCTCAAGATGGTGTGCCCCCTGCCCTGGCCCGGGGACCTCAGGCCGCGCATCATGCCCCAGCGCTGGGCCAGGGGACCTGAGGCCACACTCCCCATCTGGTGAGGCTTGACAGGGGTGGGGCCGGCTGGGTCTGGGTCTCTCAAGATTTCAAGGTACACGTGGGTGGGGACTTGACTCTGGTTCCTGTGGCACGCCCTAGATTCTGACAGGAGGAAGGTTTTCATATACATTTTACTAAGTTTCTTTCATCTCTGACACTTCTATTATAGAGAAAGGGCAAATAGCAATATTAAAATATTTCCTCTAATTAATTCCCTTTTAATGTGCATGAATTTCATGCACTGGGTCGTGTGTGTGTGTGTGTGTGTGTGTGTGTGTGTGTGTGTGTGTGTATGTACTAGAGGCCCGGTGCACGAAATTCTGCACCCTCTCCAATCTGGGCTCCCTCTCACAATCCAGGACTGCTGGCTCCTAACCACTTGCCTGACTGCCCCTAACCACTTCTGCCTACCAGCCTGATCACCTCCTAACCACTCCCCTGCCAGCCTGATCAACGCCAAACTGCTCCCCAGCCAGCCCAACTGCCCCTAACTACCCTCCACTGCTAGTCTGGCCCTCCCCTGCAGACCTGGTCACCCCTTACTGCCCTCTCTCCTGGCCTGATTGCCCCCAACTGCCCTCCCCTGCATGCCTGGTCCCCAACTGCCCTTCCCTGCAGGCCTGGTTCCCCCCAACTGTTCACTGCAGGTCTTGTCCCCCTTCCCCCCCAAATGCCTTCCCTTGCTGGCCTGGTCTCGCCCAATTGCCCTCCTCTGCCAGCCTGGTTCCCCCCCCCCCCCCCCCGCCAATTGCCCTCCTCTGCTGGGCTGGTCACCCCTAACTGCTCACAACTGCCCTCCCCTGCAGGCCTGATCCCCCCCAAATGCCCTCCCCTGCAGGCCTGGCCCCCCCCCAACTGCCTTCACCTGCAGGCCTGGGTAATCCCCCCCCAACTGCCCTCCCTTACTGGCCTGGTCTCCCTAAACTGCCCTCCTATGCTGGCCTGGTCACCCTAACTGCCCACAACTGCTTCCCTTGCTGGCCATCTTGTGTCCCCATGGGGGCAGCCATCTTTGACCACATGGAAGTGGCCATCTTGTGTCTTGGAGTGACAGTCAATTTGCATGTTGCTCTTTTATTAGATAGGATTTCTAAAGAACTGTGTCTGTTCTTATTGCCTGGAATACTCAAAAATTCATTATTTCCATTTTCATGGACTTAAACTAAGAAAGATCTGAGCAAATCATTCCAGTACTAATATTACCAAAAACATTTTGTACCATAGTAAAGTTTGGAGAAAAGTAGCACTTTTAATATTGCAATATGTTTATAAACCTCAAATTCTAAAACATGGAAATTTAAAATTATGGAAGAAAAACTGACTCAAGGAACTTTGGTACCCTGCAGATTTAACTTAATTGTTTGCTTATCTGCCATCCTTCCAAAGAAATTTTATTTTTTTTCTACAAACATCAGAAGTTCTTGGGACATGCAAGTTATATATACAAGTAAATAAACTTTACAAGTCTGTGAAAAGACCCATGTTAACTTGAGAAAGAATGACATGAAAAAGGGTGTCTGTCATGCCAGTTTTAACTTGTTTTAATAACATGAAATACAAGTACAAAACATTGTACAAGTAAGTATACTTTTTACTACTTGGAGATGGAATACATTTGTGTTTTACCAGAATCTGTATTACCCACTACTATTCCTATGAGGTTTTAACATGAATGAAACAAACAAAACAAAACAAAAAAACACATAAGTCTTTTCAACCGTTGTTTTTAATCTTAATATCTTTGTTCAGCTGCTTTTGGAGAATTAAGAAATACAAAATCACCTTGGCCAAGAGCTTTGAGTGGGTAATTTTGTTATTTCATGTTGGCTGAAATCTCCCTTATGTTGGCATTGCAAAGACACTGTGCACTGACAGAGGACAGGAAAGAGTGTTGTCTTAATAGCCCTCTTAAAAGTTCAGAAGGCAAAGGACCGTTTCCTGTAAAGTACAGAATATTATAATAAATAACAGCAACAGAGGACCATAAAGCCCCGCATGTGCTGAAGAAGAGCAAGTCTGCAAATATTTAAGTGAGAGTAACATCATATAATAAAGAAAAAGTAAACTGTGCTAAGTGTCCTGAATTCAGCCTCCACAGCATACATCGGTTTTCAGCCATTTCAATTAAGACTTTTCTTATAATAAACCAAAAAAAGATGAAAGTAGCATTTACTGTGTTGTAAATGCAAATAAAAAATAAAAAATACTGCTAATTCCATAAAATATTTGGAACTAATTTTGTTTTCATAAATAAATAAAATGGTGTTGGTGTTTATCTCTTTGTAAATTTTTAATTATCATTCTTACTGTTTTAAAAAAAACATTCAAACTAATGTCAGCCTTTAAGAATAAACCTTGGAATATTTAAAAGAACTTGTTTGCAAAAATGAAACCACATTTTTCATTGCCAGAATTATGCTTTGTTCTTGGCGGAATCATCTTTGTTTCTTCTTTTTACATCCCAATTATAAACCCTGGCCATATCTGCAAGAATTGTTAAAGAAAATGCAAGTGCAATTCTAATGATAACATTTGCAGTGACTAGGTATGCACACAAATCATACACACAAAATGCCGGCGACAAGTAAGTGTTGTGAGCCATCTTGCTATAATATCATTTGCTATGAAAATACTGGAACTAAATTCCACCGAAATGAAGTCAAGGTGTCAAGTCAGCAATTGTTTAGCATCTATAATCAATTATGGTATGACATTTAACATATATGTGCTTGACGCTGTCAACAGTTTTAAAGACAGCCCCTTATCCTAATAGGTAACATTTAAATTAATACAATTATCAATAATTTTACCTTTGCTCTTCCCTTTAACAGGCCAATCACTCAATTTATTAAGCACCAAAAAAAAAAAAAATTATTAAATATCTACATCTTTTCCTTTCCACAAGCAGCATCTGTGTAGGCCCTCACATATCAAATATTTCTTCCATGGATAGTGATGTTGGCACTGTATCCACAGTCATCATCATAATCCAGGTCATCTAGATTTGCTCCTATGCTACCTTCTGGGAATTATACAGGGATCTTTTTCTCTAGATGAAGTCTTTACATTCAAGTTACACACCACCCCTGCTGTGGGCCTCAAATAGGCCCGCCTCCCCTCACCCAAGCACTCAATGCCTGCCAGGTGCTACATACTATGGAGAAGAGAGAGAGCACAGCTTCTACACTTGAAGAACTCGGAGTCTGACATGAAAAACAAATGAAGAACTATGTGCAAAGTGCTAAGTAAGCCCGGAGGAACAACAAAACACCCTGAGACGGTCAGAAAATTCCAGAAATGTTCTGATGCTTGTGCTGAAATATAAAGGATAAAAAGTAAGCCAGGGCCAAAACCGGTTTGGCTCAATGAATAGAGCGTCAGCCTGCAGACTGAAAGGTCCCAGGTTCGATTCCGGTCAAGGGCATGTACCTTGGTTGCGGGCACATCCCCACTAGGGGCTGTGCAAGAGGCAGCTGATGGATGATTCTCTCTCATTGATGTTACTAGCTCTCTATCCCTCTCTCTTCCTCTCTTTAAAAAATCAATAAAATATATTAAACAAAAGAAAGAAAGAAAGAAAGAAAGAAAGAAAGAAAGAAAGAAAGAAAGAAAGAAAGAAAGAAAGAAAGAAAGAAAGAAAGAAAGAAAGAAAACCAGGTATGGCCACCCAGTGTGGCTCAGCAGTTGAGCGGCGACCCATGGACCAGGAAGTCACAGTTCAATTAACAAGCAGGGCACATGCTCATGGGTTGTGGGCTCCATCCCCTGTGTGGAAATGTGCAGGAGGCAGCCAATCACATTGTTCACTCTCATCAAGGATGTTTCTATCTCTCTCTCCCTCTCTCTTCCTTTCTGAAATCAATAAAAACATTTTTTTAAAGTGACCCAGATAACAGGAGGAAATCATTCCAGGCAGGAGGAACAAAGTGAGGAAAAGCAAAGGGCGTAGCACTCTGGGAGATGGGGAGAGAATAGCTGATTGAGATGATCCAGAAGCTGGGCCGCCCTGGGGGAGGGCCAGGGCAGAAAGAGTCACTGGCAGGGCACTGGGGTCTAAGACTGACTGGTCTAAGAATAAGGACATTCTTCTCATTTAAGCAATGGAAGTAAGAACACTAAAAACATCTTTACACTTTCCTGCCTTGTCTCTTGTTAAGAAAGGATACTGACTTCAGTGGTAGTAAACTGATCTCGAAGAAAGTCAAGGTCCTCTTCCAGAGAATCCAGGTTCTTTGTGGCAGTTGTCAAATTCTTTTCCAACAATGCCTGAGCTTCATCGATATCATATTCAAGCATTACATTAGCCTGAGAGGAAGAGGGGAAGTCATGAGGATTACTGAACATTTACAGAGCAGGGGTTGGGCGAAATCCAGGTGGCTGCCTTTTGTCTGAAGTTTTATTAGAACCCAGCCATTCTCCACAAACTTCTGCTTTCAGGCCACAGTGTCAGAGCTGAGTAGTTGTGACAGTGACCAAGAGGTCTGCAAAACCAAAAGCATTTACTCTCTGACCCTTTATAAGTTTATTGAGCCCTGGCCAGTTTGCTCAGTGGTTAGAGCATCAGTCCTCGGACCAAAGGGTCTTGGGTTCAATTCCCAGTTAAGGGCACATACATGGTTGCAAGTTTGCCCTTGGCCCAATGTGTCTCTCATGTTGATGTTTCTCTCTCCCCCAACTCTCGCTCTGTCTCTCCCCCTCCTCTCTCCCTTCCACCCTCTCTAAAAATCAATGAAAAAAAAAATCCTCAGGTGAGGAATAAAAAAAAAAGTTTATTGACCCCTGGGTTAGAGAATATATTTACATATATTATATCATTTACTCCTAGTAAGACAACCCTGGTAAGACAAGTTATTTTCATCTTTACAGTTAAGAAAACAGGTTGAAAGGTTAGGTTGCTTGTGTTTGCATAGCTAGTAAGTAAATGGGAGAATTAGGATAAAAACCAATATGTTTTAGATACCAAATCCTACCTTTTCATCATGACACTAAATAGTGTTACATTTGAATCCATTTAAATAGCTGTTTCTGAGGTTAAGAATCAATAATCTAAGTTTTCCAATACTTCTATGTTTGCTTCAATTAGAAAAATAGCTAGTTTTTACTGACCTCCTTCTACACCCCTAACATCTATCTGTTAGGGGTGCACCTTGCCTGCACCCCTAACAGATAGATGTTAGGGGTGCAGGCAAGGTGACTTTCTGGGATTCTCAAGAGCTGGTGTTGCCCTACCAGGTTTGGCTCAGTGGATAGAGCGCTGGCCTGCGAACTGAATGGTCCCAGGTTCGATTCCGGCCAAGGGCATGTACCTTGGTTGTGGGCACATCCCCAGTAGGGGATGTGCAGGAGGCAGCTGATTGGTGGTTCTCTCTCATCAATGTTTCTAACTCTCTCTCCCTCTCCCTTCCTCTCTTAAAAAAAAATCAATAAAATATATATATATTTTTTTAAAAGAGCTGGTGTTACTGCCAACACTTGGGGTGCATGCACCATGGAGGGGGAAACCATACCTTTCCCAGCCCCCCACTCCTATCACCTGACTTACCACCAAGCATTTCCTGAACAACTTTCCTCATCGGATAAAAGGAATTAAAAGTCACTCTCAGGCTCACTGTAAGCATCCAATGAGACAACATGGAAGTGTTTGGCAAAAAGCAGGTGCTGCAAAAATACCGACTGAATAACGCAACCCATGATCATTAGAAAACTGCATGAAAATTCACATAATATATTTAAAAACACTTCATTCGTGCCAAAAAACATCAATATTTCTGCAGGAAGTACCCTGTGCCAAGACTTTCTCCTCGGTTGAGCCACTCCTCAAACGCTGCCTTATCAGCCTCTGCACTTGACCGTCTTCTAGGCGTCTGGAGACTGCCATGCCCCAAACACAACTCCGATCCCCCCCCCCCCCCCCCCCCCGCAAACTGTTAGTGCTTTGCTGCAATACGAGTTTCCTGTTCGTTGTCTTTTGACTTATGATTTCTGACCTCTGTGGCCTAAAAAAACCATTCCTGTTTCAGGGTTACAGAATAAGTCATCTCGAGTTGGCCTAAACTTTGCTGGTGTCGGCACGTCGAGTAAGTATGCGATCCACGTGGAACTCATCCTAGTGTGAGGTGTCAGGTGGGCTCCAGCCGTAATTCTTACCAGAGTCCCCCGCTGTCAGAGGCTAATGCATGGAATCCTCTCATCCTCAGCTGCTGATAGAACGTGGGTGGAGGGGAAGAGAAAGCAAGGTGTATGACCCCCTAGGATTCGAGCTACTTGGTGAATAGCTGTTCCACTCGCAGAAGTAAAACTCAACAAGTGTGGGAATGATTGTATAGAATTACGTGTACAAACTCTGAAAATATTACGATCAACACAAACCAGGGGGAGGAACTAAGGGACAGAGAGGTGAGTTTCTTGTGTACTAAGCTGTCCACCTCTCATAGGTCTCTCTCAGGGGTGATTTCACAAAACAGCAGCAAGAGAAAGTCCTCAGTGGGGAAAGCTGGGAGCATTACACTTGACTTTCTATTTTTATATGGGAACTTGCCTGAGCTAAAAAGACCTATGGGTGGCTAGCTGGACCAGCGGTCACCAACCGGTGGTCCACAAGGTCCGAAAGGTTGGCGACCACTGAGCTAGACAGTCAGGAATGGCTTGGTTAGGGGACTGAAAAGAATAATAAAGGAAACATCAAAGCAAGGCCTATGAAATCATCTAAAATTGAAGTGGATGGTTTAAAAATTGAACTCCAGCCTCAAGGTTGTTTTAATAATAATCTCCCCCCACACACACTAAGTTTAGAGTGATCTCTCTAGAACTTACAAACTCCTATTGAGAAGGAACATTTATCTGAGGTCCAGCAGTTCCTTCTATTGCTCCGCCTTCAGTCACATAGAAGAGATAAAGCAGTAGCTGAAGGGAAGCAGGGCTGGGTCAGCTGTGTTTGTTTGGGACTTTTTTTTGGTAACAATCTTCATCACACTCCAATTCTAATAGGGACCACCCGAATCCCACCCCTTCCTCCAACGGCCAAAAGGAGATAAGCATTTCCGTAGCTCCAACAATACTGTGTGCTGGGAAAACAATGTCAGCCAATGAAGCTGTGGCTATTACATTTACTTACCCCCAGCCACAGACACACTTTATCCGTAGGAGGAACTGAAGCTTTGCAGTACAGGTTATCTGCCAGTAAGAATCTGGTCTCCATTGAATTGGTTGATTCCTTAAAAAAAACAAACAGTACTATAAGCAGGCGAGTTTAATATCAAGGTCATAAAGGAGAGAGCTCACAGATGAATCTAAGCCATTTAAAACCGTACCATTATGTGCCCTGCCGGTGTGGCTCAGTGGTTGAGCATCAACCTATGAACCAGTAGGTTACGGTTCGATTTCTAGTCAGGGCACATGCCCGGGTTGCAGGCTTGCTCCCTAGCAGGGGGCATGCAGGAGGCAGCCAATCAATGATTCTCTCAAACCATATTCCACATTCTATCTCTCCCTCTCCCTTCCTCTCTGAAATTAATAAAAATATTTTAAAAATAAAAATAAAAAAGCAGCACCATCATGCAAGCTAAGAATAGTGGTAAAAGAAGTAAATGCTTAGAGCCAGATGGCTGGACAAGGACTCTGGTTCAACTGCCTACTACCTGTGTAAATTCGGCATATCACCTAACCTCTGTGTCTCAGGTTCCTCATGTGTAAAATATGGATAATAGTCCCCACACATATGAAGGATATCACAAGCAGAGCGTGCGTGTGAACACACACACACACACACACACACACATACAGACACGCACACCAGTGCCAGGTACAGAGTAGGTACACAAGGGTTAGCTATTATTCTTAATCAGTGCTTTATGCCCAACCCATCAGTTCTGAAATTTTACCAAGTTCACCGACATCAAGTAATATACTGGTGAATGCAGTTATTCTACCAGTCAAGTAATAAATCATATAACCTTTTAATACAACATCCCTATGAAGTTTAATTTTTACAGATTTCTTTTATTTAATGAGTACTGGATTAAGACTCTGAAGATTCTCAAATCCAGTTCTGCCTGTGACTAGCTATGTGGGCACTGGGTAAGAACTTCTCTGTAGCTGTATGCTCAGCTGTGAAACGAGAATGTGGAACATAAATTTCAAGATTCTTTCCAGCTCTAGAAGTCTTGGACTCCCTCCTTATTCTCGGGGAGAATGGAAACAACAACAAAAAACCTTCGATGCTGCTCCTGCAAAATAAGATGTCTTCTTTCCGTATCTACAATGATTTCAAGTTGCATTTAAATTTGGCAACTACTACACAGCAATAAAATAATTCAAGTATGGGCCCCAGAATTAAACCTGGCTTGCGGGGGGAAGCACACTGTCCACACATCAGTACACGTGGTCGAGAAGGCTGACTGGAGTCCCAGCGCAGATCAAGTACCAGTGAGCAGAGTCAAGAAAGACGCATCTCTGAAGTATCCTGGTCCCCTCACATTTACAAACAAAAATGCACTTACTTTTTTCTTCTGCATGTATTTCAGAATTTCTAAAGTCTGCTTAATTTCAGGAATCTGGCCCTTTAGCCTGTGAATAAGAAAAAAGGTTAACCTAGGGCTTTGTAGCAAGAATAAACACCAGGACACAGTCGTACAAGCTTTGCCTGTTCTAGTGATATGTTCTTGAGGACTATTTACAAATATAAAATATTTAGGATATTTCACAAGGTTTATCAGAATATTTAAGATATAAATATTTATTAACATATTTAGATACGATAACAGTATTTCTAGAATGCCTATGGTACACAAAGCCCCGTTCTATCAGACATCACATCATTATTAAACATTTCAAGAGCAAACCATATTCCACAGAGATGATTCAGAGGTTCCACATTTGATCAAAACCGCATTTTAAATGGATTCATGTTTAAAATAACGTGCATTCAAATATTATATTCTGAATTTGAAACCACTGTAAACCAGCAACTCACCAGCTGCTCCTGGCGAGTACCCAGTGCACAGACAAATGCATCACAGTCAGCCAAATGCCAGCCAAGTACCCTGGCAGCGTCTCATTATGACATTATGACTCTTTTAAGCTTTGGGTAATTTTTTCTTGATAAATGCTTTCAGTTGATAAATACTTTTTAAAGTTATAAATGGGTCATTTGTTTATAAAGACAGAAATTTTAAAAAATGATGATAGGCATGATGAATTTGATCACGTACAACAGGTTAAGTTACATCAATAGCTACCAGCAATACTACTAGCCTAGAACTACAGCCACACACAAAAATGCATCTAGACACAAGCTTTATACACTTCACAGAAAGCATGTCAAAATAACTCACAGACCTAAATGTTAGTGTTAGGTGTATTCGTTTGTAAAATAGCTAACACACACACACACACACACACACAACGTAAGTATGTTCAGATCAAGTTTTTTGCCATGTAGATATATTTCTATGATATATTTTTTATATGTACAAATTGTATGTAATACATAAATTAGGAAGCACATTAATGAAGCAAGCAGCTGCAGCCCCAGCCAACTGAGGAACCGGAATGCCGAGGCCACTGGGCATGTCCAAGCACTACATCCCCTCACACCTTTCCCCATTCCAAGAGACAGCAGCTCTCCGGAACTGTGTGTTCACAGTCACTTATCCTTTTTCCAATCGCTTCATCACATGCATGTTTCTTAGCCCAATAAGAACAATCTCCTGCACTTTCGGGGGTTTACTTTTTAGCCGCATTTAGTTTCCTAGGACTTGTTCATTCATTTTTACTGCTGTGTAATACCCAATTATGAATACAAAACAACTTATCTAATCTCCTGGAAATAGACAATTGGGTCAGTTCTTGGCCTTTGCTATTAGTTGAACAGTGGAGATCTCTAGTCCTGGGAGTAGGTAGGGAAGTGAAGTAGCTTAGAAAGGAAGTAGACTAAATCTTCAATGGGGGAGTAGGCTAAGAAAGAACGTTCTCCTTCTAAATTGCCCTGGGTGGATCACTATACCCACCCCATAACTGTTACAGGGTAGAAAAACAGTAGAATTGGCCAGGGACAGGAGGAGCTGGGAAGATGAGTACCAGTATGTACCGGCCTCAGCAGTCTCCACTCCCTACTCCCACACCCAGGGGTGATGTCAGTGAAGAAGGCCAAGGAAAAGAGAATTCCTGTAAGCCACCTTACTTGGTTAGGGAGGGAGCATGTCCACGCCCTATACCTTAACGCCAGCAGTATTCTTCCTACCCCTCCAAACCAGGATGGACTTACATGACTCCCGCCCCCACATACGTTACTGGCAAAAGTAACTAATATCCCTGAGAGAATATGAGCTGACAGGGAAAAGAAATGGTAATCTGATCAACTCAACTGTAATTAAAGAAAGAAAATAAACTCAATAACCTCTATCAGATGAAACAAAATTAAATACTAAAACATTATACAGTAAGTATTAAAAGTACCTCAAAGAGAAAAGACAGGATATTGGACATATGAAGAAGAAACAAGCAGATACAATAAGAACCAACCAAAACGACTATAGAAAATCTAATAATGGTGGAAATAAAGGACTCACAGATATCCGCCTAATTGCCAAAAGACAAATGAAATACAAAGTCAGCAGAAGAGAAGAGATGATAAAAAGAAATGAAAGGCAGAATTGGAAGTGTCAACATCCATATTAACAGGCATTCCCAGGAGAGAAGGAAAAAATTTAACAGATGATAGGAAAAAAAAAAGACTTTTAAATGACAATCACAAAATTTCCAGTTAAAGAAAAATAAAAGGCATGTGATTCACGTATTAAAGAGATCGCCATAAGAGAATTATGAAGCACTATAGAAATTTTACATAGCTGAAGGTAAAGTTAAAGATAAATAACAGACTACAAGTAAAGATCTGCACCGTATGTAAAGAAAAAGGTTAGTATTCAAGCTACATAGAGCCATTTGATGCAAAAACACATAGCTGACATGACCGAGGTGAGGGGAATTCCAGGAAAAAAAAAAAATAAAAGGGCCTGGCCGGTGTGGCTCAGTGGTTGAATGGCTCAGTGGTCGAATATTGTCAACCTATGAACCAGGTCACAGTTTGATTCCCAGTCAGGCCACATGCCCAGGTTTTGTGGGCTTGATCCCCAGTGGGTGCGTGCAGCAGATAGCCAATCAATGACTCTCTCTCACCATTGATGTTTCTATCAATTTCTCTCCCTCTTCCTTCCTCCTTCTGAAATCAAGAAAAACATATTTTAAAAAATAAAATGAAAGGGAAAAAAACTAGAAAAGGCTTTGAGTTGAGCAGTGAGAAGACAGGTGAAAAGTAGGCATCATAAGGCAGGTGCCATTACCAGCTACAGACCTGAGCTGGGCCCCTGACTTACTTAAGAACTTGGAATAACCTCAAGTGGTTCAAGGCTGGTATAGAATCACAGGTCCAAGCAAAAGCAACATCCTCTATGGATAAAGACAAGGCCCAGAGGTATACATACAGCAGTTACAGGAAGCTGACATACACAGTTGACCCCTGAATAGACTTTTGAACTGTGTAGGTCCACTTATACATGGATTTTAAAAATAAATACTGAATATATACTTTTTCTTCCTTATGATTTTAACATTTTCTTTTCTCTAGCTTACTTTATTGTACAAATACAGTATACACTGAGTGGCCAGATTATGATGATCTCTGAACACATAATAACCTGTCCACTCAGTGTATATTCTATATAATAAAAGGCTAATATTCTAATTGTCCCTTCGACCAGGAGTTCAACCAGCAGGCAAGCCTGCCAACCGCCCATGTCCCCTCCCCCTGGCCAGGCTGGCCGGACCCCACCCATGCACTGGGCCTCTAATACACACACACACACACACACACACACACACACACACACAGAGTGGCCAGATTATTATGTGTTCAGAGATCATAATACTCTGGCCACTCAGTGTATAATACATATAACATACAAAACACAAAACATATGCTAATACACTTCCAATCAACAGTAGGCTATTAATAGTCAATAAGCAGATTTCTAACTGCAGGGAGGGAGAGGGTCGACACCCCTAACCCCTGCATTGCTCAAGGGTCAAATGTAGTTAGTTAAGAAGTTAAGAAAGCTATCCACACATAGACAGATTATAATGAAGATGACCCCTGGAAGTATCTAAAAACAATAATTTGTTTGCATAAAAAGACAGGCTGAATATAATAACAATAAACCATATGTTGTTTACATAGAAAACCCTTAACTATAAATCATAAAAAGGTTGAAAATAAAGGGATTGGGAAAGATACACCAATATAATATATATATATATAATATAAAGATACATATATATTTTTTCAAGATACATATATATAAGAAAAAATATATATAAAGATACACCAATATAATATATATATAATATAATATTAGCCAGAAAAAAGCTGGGGCAGCTGTAAGTATCTAACAAAACAGATTTTAACACAATCAGCATAATTTTAACTATGCTTAAATGAAATTTAGATAGGCTTAAATTCACCAAGATGATGTAATTCTCAGATTGCATGCACCTAATAAAATAGGGTAGAAAGTTTTTTTTTTAAAGGATAGAAACATTTCAGGTTAAGATGGTAACAGAGCAGCGCTCCAGAGCCAGAGAAAATACACCCCTTTGTGGGAAGGCAGCAGAGAGCTTCCGGAGTGACAGGAACTACAGGGCTAAGGCTCCTGCAAGCGAAGAGACTGAGAGGTAAACTGATTTCCTGCAGCCACTTTTCCCAAGCAGTACATGAGGGGATGCTTCTTTTTATAGAAGTACGCCAGCTTATGAATAAATAAAAAAGAATTAACGGAATTAGAACATCATCTTCTTGCAATTCATAATAAATGGACCTAGTCATTTGAGTATCATAAAAAGGGTCAACTAAATACTATGTCTCTTAATGGAAGAACAATAAATAAACTTTTGAAGCAATGTTGCCAAAAACAAAACAAAACAAAACAAAAAAAACACCTTAATACGATCAAGACAGTAGATCCAACTACCAATTTATAGTAAGTGGAAAAGACAAAGAAACATGTTTTGAAATCCCACAATTGCTTTGAAATTTCTGAATAACTGGATTATAGATCTAAATGTGAGTGAGAAATCAATAAAGCTTTAAGAATAAAGCATTAAGAGAATATCTTCACGGACTTGGAAGAGACCAATATTTCTTAAACAGGATATAAAAAGCACTAACCACTAAGGAAGAAGATTGCTAAACAGAACTTTAATAAAAGGTATTTAGATCAGAGCTGGAACTTGAAAAACAAAAACAAAAAAACACGTCAACTTTTTAAAAGTTTAAGTCAAATACGATTAACTTTTTTGAAAACTTGGAGATTTCTATGCTTACCTCCTTTTCTTTTGAGCAAGGTTGAGTTCCATAAACTTATACTTCTGATACTGTTCATCCAACTTCTTCAGCACTGTATCTGCAGTCTCATTCCCCGGCTGTTTCATGTAGGAATCCACATCTTCCTTTAATATCAAAAATAATATATTTCAAATTTTAAGCCAGCATGGCTCAGTGGGTGAGCACAGATCTATGAGCCAGGAGGTCAGTTTGATTCCCTGTCAGGGCACATGCCTGGGTTGCAGGCTCCATCCCCTGTAGGGAGGAGGCAGCTGATCAATGATTCTCATCATTGATGTTTCTATCTTTCCCTCTCCCTTCCTCTCTGAAATCGATAAAAATGCATTTTTTAAATTTAGAATTTGCATGCCTAATCTGATTTTTTACTTCTTAGCTCTATTTTTAAAACATAAAAGAAGCCCTAGCTGGTTTGGCTCAGTGGATAGAGCGTCGGCCTGCGGACTGGAGGGTCCCAGGTTCGATTCAGGCCAAGGGCACATGCCTGGGTTGTAGGCTTTATCCCCAGTAGGGGGCGTGTAGGAGGCAGCCGATCAATGATTCTCTCTTATCATTGATGTTTCTCTCTTTTCCTCTCCCTTCCTCTCTGAAATCAATAAAGATATATATTTTTAAAAAACATAAAAGGAAAAAAATGCTTGTTTTTCTCCCAAGGATTATTTTTTTGTTAATCCTCACCCGAGGCTATTTTTTCCATTGATTTTTATTTCGAGAGAAAGAGAAACATCCATGTGAGAGGCACATCCATTGGCTGCCTCCTGCACACGGCCTGAACGGGGGCCGGTGATCAAACCCGGGACCTTTCAGTCCGGGGCCAAGGCTCTAACCACTGAGAAACCAGCTCGGGCATCCCAAGGCTTGTTTTTAACTAAAGTGCTATGATTTTAAAAAGTTAGACCATTTCAGAAAGTGCACACACATTTTGTTTTTGTTTTATTTTGTTGTTGTTAATCCTCACCTGAAGATACTTTTCTATTAATTTTTCAGAGAGATTGAAAGGGAGGGAGGGAGGGACGGAAAAGAGAGAAACATGGATATGAGAGATACATCCATTGGTTGCCTCTGGCATGTGCCCGATGGATCTGGGGACTGAGGGCTGGGGATCGAGCCTGCAACTCAGGTACATACCCTTGACCAGGAATCAAACCCTTGGCCCTTTGGTCCACAGGCCCATGCTCTAACTGCTGAACCATACTGGCCAGGGCAGTGTACATACACTTTGTAGCTAATTTACCCTTCCCCCACTTCCTCTTTCCATTTTTATTTATGCATAAGGAAAGAATGATGACCTTGTCGCCTTCATGCATCCCCCATGAGATCTTAGTAGTAAATATAAAAATTAGCAACAAACACATTGCCAGTCATGTGCCCTAGCCACAAAATGATTCAACAGATTTGAATGCCAAGATTATTGACTTTATTACTTAAATTTTTAACTCGAAAGTTCTACCATAGAAAAAAATGCTAAATATGGGCATTAGGTTCCCAAGGCAAGCCACAATACCTCTGTAAGAATCAAGTGTCTGTAATAAAATAAACCCAAAAGGCAATCAGAACAATCTTTTGTACAGGAATAAGTAAGCCCAACAGAACAAGTAAAACCAAACAGCATTTTATTTATTTTTTTAAAATATATTTTATTGATTTTTCACAGAGAGGAAGAGAGAGGGATAGAGAGTCAGAAACATTGATGAAAGAGAAGCATCAATCAGCTGCCTCTTGCACCCCTCCCCCCACTGGGGATGTGCCCACAACCAAGGTACATGCCCTTGACCGGAATCGAACCTGGGACTTTTCAGTCCACAGGCCGATGCTCTATCCCTGAGCCAAACCGTCTTCGGCCCAAACAGCATTTTAAAAATGTACCCTACATGCTGATCCTTCATTGTAAGTAAGTTAAATCCAATAATCTATGGTCTCTGGCATCTCTACATCATTATTCTTTTTTTTTTCCAATAAATATCTTTATTGATTCAGAGAGGAAGAGAGGAGAGAGATAGAAACATTAATGATGACAGAGAATCATTGATCAGCTGCCTCCTGCACGCCCCCCACTGGGGATGGAGCCTGCAACCCAGACATGTGCCCCTAGCTGGAATCGAACCCGGGACCCTTCAGTCCCCAGACCAATGCTCTACCCACTGAGCCAAGCTGGCCAGGGCTCTACATCATTATTCTTATCCGTGCTTATTAACCATAGGGGAATATTTTAGCCAAAACAAAGCAAGAAGAAAAAGGAAGAGGAACACAGCAATGGGGTGAACTATGAAACTATCACACTAATGATGCAGTAGAAGAAATCAAAAAGGTGAAGCTGAGGCAATGATTGAGTTGTGCATGTAAAATGGCAGTATCATCTTCCTAGAAGAGTCACTGCAGGAAAGAGAAATAAGTCAGTTTCTGGGACATGGGATGTTTCTTAGGAGCTTAGAGTCTAGCAAGGAGAATTAGCCATACCAACATAAGACTTGGCTAAAAGATGGCATGTGCCCAGCCGGTATGGCTCAGTGGTTCCATTCCTGGTCAGGGCACATGCCCAGGTTGTGCGCTCGATCCCCAGTAGGGGGTGTGCGGGAGATAGCCAATCAGTGATTCTCTCTCATCACTGATGTTTCTAATCTCTCTCTCTCTCTCTCTGCCCTTCCTCTCTCAAATCAATACACACACACACACACACAAATAACATATTTGTCTTATATGATTTCCAAAAGATCACTATCAGATACAACACTTATTACATCCAGGAGTAAACAGCAATTGGGAACAAGAGGCAGGATTCAAACTCTGGTCTATTTAGAAGCCAGTGTTCATCCTATAATAAATACCATGCTACTCCCATTAGTTCAGGAACGTAAAAATACATTACATAAAATTTGGATGGCTTATTATGTCATGTTGGTAGAAATTTTAACTCTTAAAATAACAATTTTAATGAAACCGGTTTAGCTCAGTGGATAGACCGTCGGCCTGCGGACTGAAAGGTCCCGGGTTCGATTCCGGTCAAGGGCATGTGCCTTGGTTGCGGGCACATCCCCGGTGGGGGGGGTGAAGGAGGCAGCTGATCGATGATTCTCTCTCATCGATGTTTCTAACTCTCTATCCTTCTCTCTTCCTCTCTGTAAAAAATCAATAAAATATATATATATTTTTTAAAAAGCCCTCAGATAGTTTACCCTCCTGAAATAGATTTGTAAAGTCAACTATAACTGAGCACATTGATGTTGTATGTAAGGCTCTGTGGAAATGCAATGTGACCTTTAGTTATGAGTTTGTACTATGTGTCAGGCACTGTGCTAGGACCAGGAGAAAATGCCAGGGAGCAAGATAAATACCCCCCTTGTCTCCCAGGGAGGTAAGTAGAGGCTCTGGAGGCCCACAGGTTGCCTAAGTTCAAATCCTGTGTGGCTTGGGGCATGTTACTCAAGGATTCTGTGCCTCAGTTTCATCATCTACAAAATGGGCATGATCACAGCACCACCTTCTCCAGAATTATGTAAAAGCATTAGGAAAATGCCTGGCACTCCACACAGGTTACCTCTAGTTACCGTTAGCTGGGAGATAGGTGTAATGAAATAAATGGCACATCTCAGGGAGAGAAAAAGCAAAATAATTGAAGAGAATAACTACAAAATTGAATCAGCAAACACAAATATGCAACATACAGGGTATGTAAAAGTAATTCAAATAAAAGAAACTAGTCTTTTGGAGATGTAAGAAATGATTACCAAAAAAGATAAGAGACAAGGCAATAAAAGATACAATCCAAAAGGTTGAGAAAATTCCATTAAGACTTTATAGTAGCTTAACCAGAAGTGAGTGGGAAAGGACATAACACTGGCCTGGACGGCCAGTCAGGTTTTCTCTCATTACTCCAACAGTTTTAAATACTATTTCTAGAACAGCCCGATGGAAGAACAAGACTGAACCATCTACTTTTCCCTCTTTGTTTGGACCTTGTTTGGACTAGCTGGATTGCTCGGTGGGTAGAGCATCCGCCTGGGGACTGAAGGGTCCTGGGTTCGATTCTGAACCCAGCATCTACTTTTTCCTCCTTGTTTTGTGAAGCCACCAAATTGCATCCCGTGGCCTCCTCTCTCACCTCCACACATTTGATTAGTAAGCTGTTAGAATGATGTGCCCCGGACCAAATACGATTATAACGGGGCTTCCTTCGGAGGCCTCATGACAGCCCGCTGCCTACCGGATAGAGCCTGGCTTCCTTAGCATAGCACACAAGGACCTCACATTCTCGCCCCGGCCTAATCTCCAAGGAGACGGAGCACTGCATCCCTTCAACAGACGGGGTGTCCTCCCCTATTTTCACACTTCAGACCAGAAGTCCTGCCTGCTCACTGCATCCCAGGTCCCCATTTATCTGCCCGGCTCTCCCGCATCTAGGCTGAGACTCAAGCCTCCCTCTGCCTCCCTTTTCCAGGCAGCAGAGGATGAAACCTGGGGCTCGGGGGGGGGGGCATTAAGGGACCGCCCCGCTCCCAAATCTTCCCGCCCCAGGCCCCCATCTCCCCTCAGTCCTTCCGGGACTGCGTTTCCCCCGGCGGATCCCAGCCCGGCTTAGTCTACACGGGGCGGAGGGCAGGAGGGGATGCGGTGCGCTCTCCCGGATCCCTTAGCGCAGCTCCTTCCCCCCCAGCCAAAACCGAAAACCGGAAGGGGCCGCGGCCTAGGACCAACATGTCTCTCACCACAAACACGGCCTCCGGAATCCCCAGGTGGAGCCGCCGCCCGTTCCCGGCAGCGAGTTCCAAGCCACAGGCATCTCTAGCCACCGCCATCTTGGGGAAGCTCGCGCGCGACTAAGAGCTTCTGGAGCCACCGGCCGCCGGGGGCCCGTGATTGGCTCGCTCGCAACGCCAAGGCCCGCCCCTCCCTCGCGAGAACGCGCATTGGCGGACAAGCAGGAAGTAGCCGCCCCTGCGCCGAGCGGCCCGACCTCTGCGTGCTGATTGGTTGCGCGCAGGTGAGTGACAGGCGTGGGAGGGCCTCGGGGAGGGGGCGGAAGCTGGCTGCGTGGGAAGAACCAATGGGGACTCCTGGGAAAAGGAACCTTGGGGATTTGGGCGAGTCGGGCGGGGAGCGGGGCTGGAGGAGCCTGGAAATCAGGGACGAAATCGGACCCCATTCCCACCCCAGAGCCGGCAGACCCCTCCAGAATCCCAGAGCCGGCAGACCCCTCCAGAATGGCCTTCACAGCGACCTGATCCCCTCTCGGATGCAAGCGAAACTAGGACCTAGGACTTAAGGTGACCAGACGTCCCGCTTTTGGCGGGACAGTCCCGCTTTTGTCCAGATCTTTCCAAAAATTGGGACTGTCCCGCCAAAAGCGGGACTTCTGGTCACCTTACCTCTAGGTGCCACCACAGGGCTTCATGGGTGCCTTTCTGGTCCCACCATAGCAGCGAGTTTGCCCCCCCCCTTGAAGGGGACTTAGAATCCATCACACCAATCTTTCCTGAAAGCCAACTTGGATCAGAATCTCGCGACCGCAGCTCAAACATTTTCAAAAGTTCATAGTCTAGCCCTAGCTGAGTTGCTCAGTGGGTAGTGCATCCGCCTGTGGACTGAAGGGTCCCAGTTTTGTTTCTGGTCAAGGGCACATGCCCCAGTTGCGGGCTGGATCACCAGTGTGGGGCGTGCAGGAGGGCAGCCGGTCAATGATTCCCTCTCATCATTGATGTTTCTATCTCTCCCCTCTCCTTTCCTCTCTGAAATCAATAAAAGTATGGTGTGGTTTTTTTTTTTTTTTTTAAAGTTCATAGTCTACATACACAATGTTTGTTCCTGTCTTTGCTTGAACTGGAGTGCCAGCCAGTGAAATGGTGCCTCGCCCCCTCCCAAGAAGCCTACCATGAGCCAGGCCCTTTATGAATAAAGGCTAAATGTCAGCTTCATTACTTAGTGGGGACACATAGTAATGAGTGATTAACATTTATATAAAAACTAACTACATGCTAGACACTAAGTAGTGTTCTTTTATCCCTATAGCTCAGTATGAGGGACTACTATATCCCCTAGTTTACAGACAAGTAAAGGGCCTTAAAAGTGAACCATTTGGCCAAGACCGGTTTGGCTCAGTGGATAGAGCGTCAGCCTGAGGACCCAAGGATCCCAGGTTCGATTCCGATCAAGGGCATATACCTTGGTTGTAGGCACATCCCCCAGTAGGGGGTGTGCAGGAGGCAGCTGGTTGAAGTTTCTCTCTCATTGATGTTTCTGACTCTCTATCCCTCTCTCTTCCTCTCTATAAAAAAATCAATAAAATATATATATTTTTAAAATAATAAAAAAATAAAGTGAACCATTTGTAAGAGAATAGGATATTGTAATAGTCACATACCTGGTAGGAAGGGAGCACAAGTGGAAGACACTGCCTAAATTGTATTTTAAAATGAGAATAACAATGCCTGGCTGGTGTGACTCAGTGGTTGAGCTTTGTCCTATGAACCAGGTCGCTGGTTTGATTCCCAGTCAGGGCAGATGCCTGGGTTGCAGGCTTGATCCTCAGTAAGAGGCGTGCAGGAGGCAGGTGATCAGTGATGTTACTCATAATTGATGTTTCTAACACTCTCCCTCTCTGAAATCAGTACACACACACACACACACACACACACACACACACATACACACAGAGATACCTTTAAAAGAAACATAGTGAGAATAGTATGTCAGCTTTTAGGAATGGAGTGAAGGAAGGAGTAATTAAATAGATGTAAAGGGTAAAAGGTAGGAGGGGGGTGCATGGGACAGACTAAGTCAGAGACGGGAAAACAAGCTACTGCTGCCAGAACTGTAAGAAATGTTCCAGGAGGTGTCTGTGTCAGGTTTGGGTCCTTCTAACAAACTCAGGAATCTGTTCAGGAAAGGGTGGGGACTGGATACTGGGAAATGTGTGGACCTAGAGGAGTAAGGAACATGGGAGAGGCTTTAGACTGGAAAAAAAAGGGGGGGGTGGGGAACATAGGGGGTGGGACTAGAGGATTGGGGGGATGTGAGCTGGAAATATGAGTAATGTGGAAGAGTGAAGAAATTGGGCGGGGCAGTAGGACTAGTTGCCCGGTGAGCGAAATTCATGCACGGGAGGGAAGGGGGTGTCCCTCAGCCCAGCTTGAACCCTCTCCAATTTGGGACCCCTCAGGGGATGGCCGATTGCTGGGGGATGTCCCTGTGGGATCGGGCCTACACCAGCAGTAGGATATTCCTCACAATTTGCGACTGCTGGCTCTTAACGGCTCACCTGCCTGCCTGTCTGATCGCCCCTAACCACTCTGCATGCTGGCCTGCTCACCCCCAACTGGCCCCTCACCAGCCTTCTCACCCCCAACTGCCCCCCTTTGCTGGCCTGATCGCCCCCAACTGCTCCCTGGCCGGCCTCATGGTCCCCACCTGCCCCCCCCCTTGCCGGCCTCATGGCTTCCAACTGTTCCCCCGCTGCCGGCCTGATCACCCCATCTGCTCCCCTGCCAGCCAGCTAACCCCAAACTGGCCCCCCTGCCAGCCTGTTTGCCCCTTCAGCCCAGCATGTGCCCTCTCGCAGTCCAGGAGCCTTTGGGGGATGTCTGACTGACAGTTTAGTCCCACCCCACCCCCCACCCTGAGTAGCAGACCTAAGCCATCAGTGGGATATCCTTAGTGCTGCAGAAGAGGCTCCTGCCACCACCACTGTACTTGCCAGTCATCAGCCCAGCTTGTGACTAAGAAGCACTCCCCCTGTGGGAGCGCAATGACCACCAGGGGGCACCTCTGGCCCTGCAGTCCCATCATCCCTCCACCACCACAGGGAGCTGTCCTCCCTGGATCGCTGTCCCCTCCCTCTGCCTGCGGGCACCCACCTTGGCTGGCCTGGTGCCGCCCCCCCCCCCCCCCCCCCCGCCAACCAGTCATTCCACCGTTCAGTCGATTTGCCTATTAGGCTTTTATTACATAGGATTGGTTGATTCTTGTATGTGCCCTGACTGACTGGGGGTTGAACCTGCAACCCTAGCACAATGGGACAATGCTCCAACCAACTGAGCTACCTGGCAAGGGTAGCAGTTTTAATTTTATTTTTCATATTTAGATATATTTTTTATTGTTGATAGTATTACAGATATCTCCCATTTTCCCTCCCTTCCCCCTTCTCTCAGTCCCTACCCATCCCTCAGGCCTTCAGCACCCTATTGCCAATGTCCATGGGCTATGCATATTTGGTTTATCTCTTCTCATTCCCCCAACCCCTCATCAAGGTACATCAGTCTGTTCCATGCCTCCCTGCTTTGGGTCTTATTTTGCTGGTCAATTCATTTTGTTCATTAGATTCCATAAATAAGGGAGATCTTGTGATATTTGTCTTTCTCAGTTTGGCTTATTTTACTTAGCATAATATTTTCCAGGTCCATCCATGCTGTGGCAGTTTTAATTTTATAGAAACACCTACTATATGACCCAGCCATTCTGCTCCTAGGTATCTACCCAAGAGATAAATCCACAATTGTCCACAAAAAAAATTGGACAAGAATGTTTCCAGCCCTAGCCAGTTTGGCTCAGTGGATAGAGCGTCAGCCTAAGGACTGAAGGGCCCCAGTTTCGATTCCGGTTGAGAGCATATGCCTGGGTTGTGGGCTCGAACCCCAGTGCAGGAGAGAGTCAATCAATGATTCATCATTGATGTTTCTATCTCTCTCTCCCTCTTCCCTTCTCTATGAAATCAATAAAAATATATATATATTAAAAATGTTTTCAGAGCTTGTATGTGTACATCAATTTAAAATTTATTTTTAAAATAATGAGTATGAATAAATATAATTTCACAGAAACAAACATTACATTTATCACCAGCATAAATAAAGTAAATAAATTTCTAAAAGATGTTAAGGAGAGGAAATTATTCCAATGCAAGAAGGGATAGTAAACAACAAATTCTAAACCCATAGCTAAATCTAAACAAAAAAACGATTTATATAAATATTAATATTCTTAATTTAAGAAGTGTAAAATATTTGACCACCCAACTATACAAGTTGGTTAGAAATGCCCTAGTAATTTAAAAACTTAAAAGTGTCCTAAGTTCCTAATGTTAGTTTGGAAGGGAGAGTAAGATACTAACTTTAAATTTTGAAGAATAACTATTAAAACAAGAGAAATACAATGCATCATCTCCAATATATTGAATTGGAGAGATCTCAACAGTATTGCTTGTTTATTTTACTTGGATGATGTGGATGATTTTGTTCCACTGTAGAGAGATCACCGTTTTTTCCCCCACCATTGAATTCCAGTGGTTTTGCTGCAGCACTTCTACATGAATTGTATCTCCTTAAAAGAAAGATAGATATGTAAATCTTGCTACACTCATCCATGTTACCACTGCCTGCTTCCACTTCCATGCTCAAGCTATCATTTGCCTGTGATATCAAACTTCTGTCTATACATCTACTAGTTGAGATTCTCATTATCATTTGACTAGAGGCCCAGTGCATGAAAATTCATGCACTGGAGTGGGGGTGGTCCCTCAGCCTGGCCTTTCTCCTCTCACAGTCCGGGAGCTCTCAGGGGCGGGAGGCCAACCCAGCAATCAGGGGAAGGTGACGCCCCCATCACACCTCTGCTGTTGCCACTGCCAGCACCGCAAGCCTCAGACGGTCCTGGTTACCTGAGCCCTGGACAGCTCGGGGGCTGAGGGGACTGGGGATCTTTGGAGGCAGGTGCATGGAGTGGCCGGGCCTCAAGGTGGGCCCGGCCTTGCCACATGCCTGCCACCCTGGGGGGCTGAGGGGACTGAGCACCACCATCTTTGAGG